TGGATGCATCGTTAGGAAGTTTCTCTACATTCCACTCACTGATTGAAAATTTAAGTCTTCCAATTGATTTGACCCACTGTAAACTTTCCTTCTCGCATAGATTTGTGATATCCACAAACGCCGTGACTTCTTTTGCATGTGTGCAGCCTCTTGTATGTTGGCTGTAGCATGCACAGCTGTATGCATGCTACAGCTATGGTTATTGCTGCCTAAAATCTTTCAAATTGAATCTTCAGTTTATTTCCTAAAACCAATGGGCTGTCCACGTGGAATTTTCTTTACGTGTCTGATATCTAAATAGGGTGGATAGTTTCCTCCTAAGAGGCATTCACCTTCCCTTGGCATATCACCGGCGAGTTGATTCGTCATATATAAACAAACAAGCATGTCTCTTATAATAGGTGTTATTGGATAGATAATCTTTTGGCACGCAATCTAGTATTATCTAAGGTTATATTTAAGGATAAGTTGTGAATGGTCGGAGGCGTAAGTAGTCTGAGGATGAATAACTTCTAGAACCACTCTTTTAGACGTAATCCTTTAATGAATAATGAATCAGATGCTTTGAAATCTTTATTTTAAACCTTAAAAAATTAAAATAATCGATATTTAATCAGAATGAAGTTATAGTATTGGATATAGTCTAGATTTCTGTCCTAGTCATAGTTCTGTCCATTTTCAGTCATAGAAAATAAAGACATTTTATTTAATACTAGCAGACCCCTCCACGCGTTGTCGCTCAAAATGTATCTATTATAAATTTATAACACTTTCCCGTGGGAGGGGGAATTTTTCTAAAAATTTCTTCTTAGTGTACATTCTGTTGACGTACCCTATTAAAACGCAAAAAACCGCATCTAAAATAGTATAAATAAAAGCAGAGTTCTTTACGGTAAGCCTTAATCCTAACCATCTCCTTTCAGTGGGGGGAATTTCGACACGTATATTATATAAAAACACGTGCGTATTCGAATGCAGCGTTGTGTGAAAATTTCAAAGGAATCGGTAGGAACAAACGAACATTACATTTTTATTTATATAGATAGATAGAAGATGATCTGCTTTAGTTCATTTTCACAGAAAAGCATAATGTCTCACAGAAAAGCAAACTTAGGGCGTCGTACTCGTAGCGCCATCTGTTGGACGTAAAAGCCTTAACCTAGATTATATACAATAATACCCCGAACTTACGCGATAGGTGGGACCGAGCGATAACAGCGTAAGTCGAATTCGCGTAAGTCGGGGTATAATTTCGCATATAAATAAATACAAATAATTTTTAATTGGGGCCGGAGGCTAAAGAAAACAATAATTTAGAAAAAACGTTTAATAAAATCTTAGATAATACAGGTACATATGTATAAAAAATTATATTATTATACAACTTTTCACATTTACTTGATTATTACGCCATAATTTTAACATTGTTTCCATCTCAGGGATAATACCGTGACGTTTACGAATGATGCTGGAATTTAAAGATTGAGCATTTTTCGTAGCTTCGAGAATTTTTTCTTTACCTTTTATAATTGTTCTGACCGTCGATTTAGGTAGATCAAACTTCTTTGCCAATTCACAAATTTTCATTTTTGTATCCAAGTCTTTAATAATGTTAACTTTACATTCCAAAGATAAAGTTTTTCTTTTCTTGTTTGATGCAAAAGAATCAATTCTACTTCGTTTGAATGACATAGTAGAGTCTCTCGAGTCTCCGTAGATATAACAAACACAGAAATAAATAACACAAAATAAATTGTAGCTATATGTTGATTCCGCGCGACACGTCCGAACATGTAAGCCGAACAATAGTGTGTTGGGAGTGAGTAATCGAGAGTTGCGTGGCGCTCAAACACAAGACGAATCGACGAGATTTGAAAATCGCGTAACTCCGGATTCGCGTAAGTTGGGGTAGCGTAAGTCGGGGTATTACTGTATTTTAATTTATATGAATGTTTAACGGAATAACATACAGCCTATGTCCACCCTGAGATTTCATTCTAAATATTAGTGAAAGAATTTTTGAAATCGGATGAGTAGTTTCAGAGATTACCTGCTGCAAACAAACTTACATACATACATACATACTTACAAACATTACCTCTTTATAATATTAGTATAGATTAAGCAAAAAAAACAGTTTAAAATACAGTAGACTCTCCCACATCCGGCTATCTCATAACCGAACTGATCAAAGGAACCAAAAATATTCCAAAATATTGTACACGATTCTGAATCTTACCTTTCCATACCGCAGTATGTATATTTTTATTTTATTTTATAAAGATTGCCTTGAAGTTTGTAGAAGAGCATCTCTGACGTATGTAATAATAATGAAACATTTGTTCGGATATGGAAGAGTGTACTGTATTTTAACTAAAAATATTACATAGGCCTATAAAAAATACTTGCAACTTCATTCTTAGTCTTTTCCTGTTAGAAATTTATGAAGGAATATTATTATTTACAACATATTTTAACCAAAATGAATGATTAATTGTTTTTAATTAAATATCGACTCATTAACAGATATTTTCGCATAATTTTATAACAGAATTTTGCAACTTCATTCTTAGTCTTTTCCTGTTAGAAATTTATGAAGGAATATTATTATTTACAACATATTTCAACCAAAATGAATGATTAATTGTTTTTAATTAAATATCGACTCATTAACAGATATTTTCGCATAATTTTATAACAGAATTTATGAATTTCCTATTCATTAAAAGCATTTTAATCATTAAAAATGTTCTTACTTTTCTTCTTCTTCTTCTTCTTCTTCCTCCTCCTCTTCCTCCTCCGAGTTTGAGAATATTTTTAATAAAAAATGTGGGAGATATGGGGGTTGAAATAGTTGACTTCGAAAATGTGAAACAATGGAAGTGTTAACAATGCAAGTGTTCAGTAACAAAGAAAGTGTTAAGAGAAAGCGGCGTGCAAGATTTACAGGCGCAGATGCGGTTTTTTGCATTTTTGCGGGAATTCGAACATATTTTTAGACCCGTGTAAAAATTCTCTAATTAGTCTGGAAACGGGGGGACCTAATTCTTGCATTCTGTGGAAACGGGTAAGATTGACTATAATTTAATCTTAATCTTAATCTTAAATGTTTTCGAATAGTCGAAAATGTTTTGGAATAGTCGAGGACCGTTATGTGTGAATAGTGGGGATGGCTTTTGGAGACGTGTGACGCACATGCTTCAGTTGATTTTTCATAAGTAAAAGTGTACGAATAACAGAAAAAAGTAGAAAATGAAAAGTGAATAGTGAAGTGTGAAAAGTAAAAATATAAAAAACAATGCCAAACCGAAAGAAAGGATTTTTGCGGTCTCGAATTATATCGAAACAGAAATAATCAGAAAAAAAAGCAATTTGAAAATTATAGGGAAACACATCAAATTAGAGAAAGATTATGTAGAGAAAGAAAAACAGTCTTTTATATATATATATAAAAAAACTATATTACATATAAATTTACGAACAAATAAAAACCTAGCGAAGCGGGTATTTGCAGCTAGTTATTTATAAATAAATTATACTTTTTCCTCTCTAGAGTAAAACAAAAATTATTTTATTAATCCTTTTTCGTTATAATTTCTACGAAATTATAAATATATTACCTTGTGCTTATTTAGTTGTAAAACTTGTTAGTTTTATATAAAATTTCTCGGAAATTATAAATGTTTACGTAATTTAACTAATCTTTATACTAATCACGTTTATCTAGCATTGCCTAATACAACTAGAAGTATATAAATAAGTCTCTTTTATTCATTATTTCGTCATACAAAGTTAAGAATTATGAATACTAAATTGATTAGTTTAATCATTTTACTTCTATGTATCTATTCAGAGGCTCACGGTAAGTTTTTACTTGTTTTCTTCATATTTTTCGTCATCTCAACATTAAGAGGGCCTTTTTTCCATGCCCATCGTGGGTTTTGCCAGGCCCACAATAATTAAAACCCTTACCATCCATGAAAATTTTCTGGAGATGCTCGCCAAGATTCAATCTCTTGGTCCTCCAGAGAGCCTTAACAGCCATCCGTTTACCAGTAGATCCGTGTTAAAACAATATTAAAAGCTATTATTATTATTATTTTTATATTATCTGTAGATTGCAATCTACCTGCAGAAACTGGACCGTGTAAAGCAGCTGTTAGGCTCTATTTTTATAATAGTAAGACTGGCGAATGTGAAATTTTCATTTATGGTGGCTGCCGTGGAAACAGCAACAGATTTAATACTTTAGAAGAGTGTTGCAGTCATTGTTTTGCAAGTAAGTGTATATTTAAATTTAAAAATTATTGTAATCTTTTCTGTCATGCAAGCACTTTACACTGGATGGAATTTAAAACGTGACGCTTTTTCTATGGAAAAATCGTTTCTCAAAAATTCTCGGAAACGGGAGTAGATAGAATAAAACAGTTTTTTGCATTAGAATTCTATTTAATTTTTTTATTAACGTACGGTTCAGAATTTTGAAATTCGAATTCGTTAATTTTTTACGAATTTTCTACGATTTAAAAAATTGATAGAAAATTAACGAATTTAATTTTTTAAAATTTTTAACCGCACATTAGTAGAAAAATTAAATAGAATTTTAATGCAAAAAACTATTTGATTCTATCTACTCCCGTTTTCGAGAATTTTTGAAAATTATTTTCCCATAGAAAAAGCATTACATTGCTAAAGGTCATACGCATAACCAAAGAGGTTACAATCAAACTTTAGTAAATAAATTTATTTAGATAACCTAAATTTATTATTTTTCCAGAAAACTGTTAATTTAAATAAATGAAATTTTATCAGAAGACAAAATCCACATTTATGAGAGGATGAAAATATAAATTGTTATTGGAAATAAAAATTTCTGTTTGTTTAATGTAAATATATTTGTATTAAATCTAATAAAAATATATTAGGCGATCATGTTGCCATCTTGTATTAAATTTAATAATTAGAATTAAATTAATTAAGAATGACAATTAAAATGCAAATTTTTAAATATATAAAACACAATTCTCTTTATTTTTACTACAGAAACAATACATTTTCCTACTACAGTAATATTAGTATTAAAATAAAAAATATATAAATGCTGTTAGATTAAATGAATTACACAAAAAGGAATGATAAAATTATTACATTTATCTTTCAAACGAAATTATGTATACTATAGACCCCCTATGACACAGTAGATAATTCCGTGTTATATGAATTCCATGTTGTACGAGTCACTTAGATTTTACAAATACGTATGAAGGGCTGTGAACGGCTCACGTATTTGTAAAATCTAAGTGACTCGTACAACATGGAATTCATATAACACGGAATTATCTACTGTGTTATAGGGAGGTCTACTGTACTTGAAATATCAGTAATAATTTCCTTCTTCATATAACAGTTTACAGTGCTACATCTTTGGTGTTATATCAGTTTGAAATTATGTCTTTTTATTTGCATTTTCCATAACTTTTTGAACTCCCCTTGTGTAAATTTGGATGTTCGGGGCCTCATCCGAGTCCCGAAAAACCGCGGGGTCCCGAGTTTACTGACACATTTTTAATCTGCAAAACAAGTTATAAAATTTTTCTTTGTGACAGAAAGTTTTATCCGTTATATAACTTATCTTATTTTAGATTTAATATAACTCACGAAAGCATTTAAATTCGAACAAACATATGAACAAAATCCATTTCTTGAAGAATTATCAGTTGAAGGTATTCCTTCGAAACGAGAATCTGTCTTGTCTTTTATCAAAATATATAAATTAGTATTTATATTTAACGTTATATAAACTGATAACGATGTGAAAACGATTCCACTAGTATTACCCATTTTTATATTAATTAATTCTCTTTCTATCATCAAATTGTTACTAGAATCGGCACGTATTTTGATTATTCCTCTACAGTTAATACTTCCTCTTTGTTCTTCAATCATTGTCTTATTATTATAAAAGAAAAATTGAATTTTATAATTTTTACTCGAAGCTTTATTAACTGGCGGGTAATGTTCCACATAAAATGGTATCCCCTTTAAATAACTGTTAGGATCATTCGATTGATACTTTTCCAGTGCGTATAGAAAATTTCTGAACATAAACAATTTATTAGTTTCAATATTCTCACAATGGTTTCTTGGTTTTCTCCATTGATCAATAATTGAACTATATTCACTTTTGTTTTTTAGTGTAGGCCTCGAAATTTCTCTGAATATCTCTAATTTCTCATTCATAGTAAGGATCTGGTCTTTAGTTGGATTACCCGCAAATTGATTGCATGTCATTCTTAAAAATCGAACTTGATTAAGAAGTGGATTTAATTTTTCGCGAAGTTCATGTGTCGAATGATTTGGATAGTTCTCTTTTCCCCATTTAATAACTGCATCATACATATCGACTTCAGATTTCAATGCTAAACTGTCTTCTGATACAATATCCATCATAGTTTGAAATGTGACGTGTTTAATATAATCTTGCTTAACGATTACTGAAGCGTTTTCGGTTATGTAATCCCAACATTTAAATTTCAATTCGTTTTTACGCTTTGCAGACGAAATTTCGTATATTTTCAAGACAGAATTCGGCGATATATTATTTGCCAGGTAAACTAAGCATACGTCCATCATATGTTTTACAGAATACTTTTCAGCAAATTGTATACATGATATAGCTTCATCAACAGATCGTAAAATAACTTTATTGGTGTAAACATATCTGGAAATAAAATTTTAAAAATATATAAATTATTTGCTGTGTTAACTTAAGAAACTTTTAATAGTTTCCTAATTGATGGTCTTGTCATTAATTAATTAAACGAATGAACCTATTGTAATACGAGTAAAATAAACGTTTCTTCTTAATTATAATAAAAGAACTTACTCTAGAAAAACGTGAAATGCTTCAACGTTGTCATCAGGTAATTCGATGTTAAACATTTTCTTTGTGGTGTGTCCAAGAAACATTTTTTGGAAGACTTCACTAAACATTGACAATAAGAAAGTATGCGTGGTAAATAGTACTTTATCGTGGCCAATAATTAAATTTACATCGCACATTTCTTTTGTTGCCATTAAATATAACAGTTTATCCTGTATGGAAGATGAACTGGATTGCCAAGCCATCTAAAAAAAAAAATAAATATAAATGAGTTAGTATAATTACGTATAAAATATAATTATACCGACATGAAGTAAAATGGTTGTAAAATAGTTGTTATCACGGGTCTTATCTGCTGTCGGTGGAATAATTTACTCTGGCATTTTTACGTGTTTATGTACATAAGTGAATTGGTTAAGAGATAGTTTGAAAAATGGATTAGATAAGATTGCAGGAGTCTGAGAAAACTGCCATGCTAGCGATGAAGTTTGACAAATCTCTTGGTCCCTATTGCTGAGTTTTACAGTCTTTTCTGATTAATTGTACATTACCTTACTCACAATTTTTAACTTTCTGTGCTGTCCAAATCTGACAACGTTTTAGAGATGAAAACTTCGGCTGCAACCTCTCTATTACAAAGACAAAGGTTCTGTGCGGCGAGGAGGATACCAATCAGTAATTATTAGTTACAGCGGGATGCAGGGAATCGTGGCCACTCTGGTTAAAAATCAATGCAGTTTCATGGGTCTGAACCTTGGTTGGCCTTTTGGCTGACAAGGCGATCATCTTTAGAGTGGATTCAGTCGGTTCTTTGTCCAGTTTTGGCTGATTCCTTGCTCTGCAAAAATACCTTCGGAGGATAAGCGATCACGCAATAACCTCCACATTGATAATAATCTCCACCTTGATATTAACTATGATCCGAGATAAAATTAAATAATTTTTTTTCTTTTACCTTTGTCTCAATTGTCTTACGATATTTTCTATTCATCAATGAACAATATTCTTATTTTAAATTGTATCATTTTTACTTGATATTTATTATAATAATTTTCTTATAAATTAATTTAATAACGTGATTATTAACACATTAATCACGCTTATTAATGGGAACGGCCGGGTGGTGAGGAGCGAGAACAACTCCTTTTTCCTTCTTCCGCCCTGTGAGCTCTAACAATTAGGGGGTGCCAAATTCTCATGAGAAAAAAGTCAGAAGCTAAAACAAGAAATACAGAACTTTTCCGAACAGTTACAACTTAAGATCATATCCAAAGTTGTATTATTTTTAATAATAATATAATAAAATCTTTCAACATAATATTTATTTACTTATAATTTAAAAAAAAAATTTAATTTTTAACTTATATTTTGAAAAATAAACTTTAAAAATATAATATTAAATAACGAATAATTAAATTATACATAAAAATGAAGAGGGAAAAAATTTAGCATTAAAATACAGAACGAATACTTACGTTATTTGCTATTAATCTTTTTACAACTAAATAATTCGTTACTGACAAAAGACCGTTACGTTAAAACCAGTTATGAAGCCGTTTTCTCAACTTCCTTTGTGTTACATTGACTTTATCATTTATCTCTAAGCAACCGTCCAGAGTTAAATGTAAATAAAATCGAAGGTCATTATAAAGCTGTTATTTCCTGTTCAAATGTAAAAATTAAAACAAAAGCTCTTATTTCACTTTTGAACCAATGGAATGTGCCAATAAAAATATTTCCATCCATAATTTACAATGAATTAATGAAATTTCACTTATGAAATATTTAAGCCATATTTTTATTAAACGTGTAAAAATCTGTCAAAAAAGGAATTTTTATATTATTTTTGTATTTACTTTTTTGTAAATAAGGTAAATAAAATGGTTATTAAAAAATCCGACAGTAGTCTGAGGGACGTGAAAACTGACATTAGCCATCTGTAATAATGTGAAGTTTGCTATATTAGTGTCCATAATATCAAGCTTTTATTGTACTTTATATCATTTATATACCATGAGGAGATAATAGTCAAGAATGCACAGTATTGCTACTATAGTGTGTTCCAAAAAATATAGATATTTTATATGTTTTTATTTCTTTACAATATTAAGTATTTCTTAACAATGCAAGCGGTTATAATATGAAATCGCCGATCCGCCTTAAAGGGTCAGAATGACAGAATAGTTTCGTATCGTATGTGGGAGAGAATAGTACAGAGACAAACTCCACAGATACATAACAATTGTCCCAATTTATTGTAAATAAAAATATTTCTTACAAAAGTTCTGTTCTGCTAGAGGAACACTAGAGAGAATCTTCTATAGTTCTGAATTCACGAGAAAGTTCCACGGATAGGTCAATCAACTAGGGGTAAGATCGCACAATGTCCTCGGTGACGTCGTAATCCTCTCAAAGCGGTCGTTAGCAGTTCCGGAAACACAACACATAGAGAAACCAGGAAGAGAAGATCCCCGTGTCCTTCAAATTCCGATTTTTATAAATTTTTCGGGTCTCATTCCGATTGGTTGTTTTTACTCACTTTACTCAATTGATTGTTACTCGTTACTAAGTGTAAAGAGATTGCAAAATGAGTTAAAATCGACTGTCAATTTCGACAGAAATATTTTGTCTGATGCACCGTTGAAAGTACTTGCTTGTATATGTTATGGGTCTTAATGACCCATAACATATACAAGAACGTCGTGTCTGTGAGAACGAGTGAAAAGCTCGAGAAAACTCGTGCAATGATTCGTCAAAATCACTCTCTTTAGAAGTAGAGATGCACGGAAATCACGAAATTCGCCGCAAAATCCAAATTTTTAACATTAAATTGAGTCGCAACGCAACAATAAACTTTTCTTGTTGTTGAGAGAAGATCTATTGTTGACTCGTGCGATTATTTATTGCGAGTTCTTTTTTGAGTTTTGCTTCATTTATAGCGATTGTTTAAGTAAGTTTAGACAACGATCTTTCTAGATTTAAATACATTTTAACTTTGATAAGCAAAATATCACAATTAACGGCGGTGGTTTTCAATAACAATTTATCCGTTTCCTTCAGAGGAATCTGATATTTTCATTGTTAATTTTACAATTCAATTGTTAAAGATAAATAAAAATTAATAAATTGCCTACTTTATACCTGTTATACCCTCTATAGTTTATAAATTACATACGTATATACAGTGGAACATCGGAATACGACCTTAATCCGTTCCTGAAGTTTGGACTTATACCGAATTGGACGTATACCAAACCAACCTTTCCCATAAGAAGTAATGTAAAAATGATTAATCCGTTCTCATATATATATATATATAAAATGGCTGGCTTTAAACACCTCGCTTTCCTGGCTAGTTCCTGCTTGATTTTTCATGAGATCAGCACGTATCTTTTTAGCTTTCTCGCAAATAAATGCTTCTGATACGCTATCTCCAGCACATTGTTTTTCAGTTATCCAAAGCAAAAGTGATTTCTCGACATGATCTAATGTCTTCGATCTCTGTTTAGAAATTGATTTAACCCCTTTCGCAACGTTAGCAAATTTAATAATGTCTTTATTTTTCACGATTGTCGTTATCGTCGTTCTCGGAATACGGTATGCAACAGTCAAAATCTCGAACACGCGTGCTACCCTCATACAGTAATACCCCGAACTTACGCGATAAGTGGGACCGAGCGGTAACCGCGTAAATCGGGGTATAATTTCGCATATAAATACATACAAATAATGTTTAGTTGGGGCCGGAGACTGAAGAAAACAATAATTTAGAAAAAAATGTTTAATAAAATCTTAAATAATACATATGTATAACAAATTAGGCCTATATTATTTTACAATTTTTCACATTTACTTGATTATTACGCCATAATTTTAACATTGTTTCCATCTCAGCGATAATACTGTGACGTTTANATTTATATTTTTAATTTAATAAAATGATTTAACAAAACGTTATTAAGTAAATATAATATATATATTTTAAAGTTATATTTTTTTAATAAAAATTATATTTATTTTTATCGGTTCGTTAAATTTCCTGCCAATAGATGGCGCTACATTAAAACGGGCATTACGGTTTGAATATAAATCAATTGATTTACAGAAACCCAATAGTTATTTTAGAATGCGATGTTCGAAATTATCTAAATTAGCTGTGTGTGGACGTAACTGCCGAGATGAATGATATTTTAAACAGGAAAAAAAAAAGAACAGGCGAGTGGACACGCGAACCCAGGACTGCATTGCTGCAACTCATAAGGAGCGTTTGAGAGAAAAAGCAAAGAAAAAGGCGAATGGTGGTTCGAACTCAATGTGCACGCTGCACGCAAGCCTGTTGGCGGACCGTTTGAGTGGGAAAAAAAAAGGACTGCCAGTGGTGCGAAGCCAGACTGCACGCTGCAACGCAAGCATAAGGACGGAGCGCGACTGACCCGACCATGGCGGCATCGGCTCAGCGGCGAATTTTTTCTTATATTTATATTTTAAATATACGTAGTATCATCTATTGGTAGGAAATTTAACAAATCGTTATTAAGTGAATATCTACTGTGTATAACCGGTTTCTGTCATGGTATGCCAAAATGGCCACTAGGGGCGCCCCTAGCTATTATTTACTAGAGCCCTCTATAAACAGAGTATGGTCAATGGAGGGTCAAAATATAATTGGATACTGCCGATCACGTGGTTTATGGACGCCATTATTAGGCCAGCTTCCGATTCCCTTATGTCAAGCGAATGTCAATCAGCTATTTATTACGATAAATAACAGAATTGGAAACTTTATATACCAGGTAATTTCGATCTAAAATAGATTGTAAACATCGAGTTAGTTCTTACTTTACTATATTAAAGATACAAATCATTATTTTAGCCTTTAGATCTGCCGATACATCTATATCTCTCTTAAAGCTACCATATAAAAATAGATCATGCCGGGTTGTTCAGTAATTGATGAAGCTAGAAAAAAAACATGGGCGATTAAAGTAAATAGGCTGGATGAAAATGAAAAATTATGGATTGCTGGAAAACGTGCATTACTTTGTGAGGTAAGAATCAGAATTTTTCAGAAAGGACTTCTGCTTTGACTACCTATTTAATTGTACATTGCACATTAATAAACTAAGGCTAAAGTGTATTAAGTCTGTTACATTTTAGCCTTTATAAGTTTAGTGAGATGTGAATATTTACAATTAACTCTCATAGGATCATTTTGAGAAAGATCAGTATGAGAATCACAGGAAGGATGGCCGAAGCGTGATGCCGTGCCTACACTTTTTTCTCGCAGACTCGCACCTAAGAGAAGATGCTCTGGACCAAAAACAGGGCATAGAAACAATTGTGAGCGTATAGATCCGACCTTGGACCACAGTTATGCTACAAATTTATTTCCTATGACATATATGCAGCCCACTAAGGTATATTTATAATATAAATTTAAAATATCCTTATTAAATATTCTATTTTTTCTTATTGCATACTTTGTTTCTTTTTGAAGAAAATGGTGATGACTGTAAAAGCACGAATGGAGACGAAGATAATGAGACA